ATAATCTATTGTTAATGTTGAAATAATATGTTAATTAAATCTGTTGTTAATATTGGGGTAATATGTAATATGTTGGCATATTCTGTTAGAGGATTTGTTTCTAATGTTTGAAAGAATATTGGCGCAATCTATTGAGGAATTTGTTGTTGATGTTGAAAGAGTGTTGACATAATCTAATCTGTTAAAGACTTTGTTGTAAGAAAATATTGACGCAATCTATTAAGAAAAAATGTTATTGATGTCGACATAATATTTTGAATACTTTGTTGTTAATGTTGAGGTGTTGATATAATCTATTAAAGACCTTGATGTTAATGTCGAAATAATACGTCTATTGAGGACTTTGCTGTTAATGCTAAACCAAAAGAACATATTGATATAATTTACCGAAAGAATTTGCCGTTAACATTGATGTGTTTTGTTGAAAGAATTTGTTTGACGATTGGGTATGTTGACATAATTTGTTGTTAATGACGATTGAGTATGTTAACATAATTTATTGAAAGATAATGTTTATAATGTTAACATAATTTGTTGAAAGAATTTTGTTAAAAGAAAAAGAATTTGCTGTTTGTATAAACATATTTTATTGAAAGAAATTGTTAGAATATATTGACATATTTTGCCGAAAGAATTTGTTGGAACATATTGACTAATCTATTAAAATATTTTGTTGTTAATGTTAACAGAATATTGGCATAATCTATTGAAAGAATATGTCGACATATTTTATTGAAGAAATCTGTTTCTAATGTTGACACGTTTTGTTAAAATAATTTGTTGAAACATATTGACATAATCTATTGAAAGAATTTGTTGTCCGTGTCGATAGAATGTGATTTTGTTGTTAATGTTGAAGGAATATGTTGACATAATCTATTGAAAGAATTTGTTGTTAATGTTGAAGGAATATGTTGACATAATTTATTGAAAGGATTTTTTGTTAGTATCGACAAAATATATCGATACAATCTATTGAAAGATTTTTTCGTTAATGTCGACATAATATATTGACATAATCTATTGAAAGAATTTGTCGTTTGTGTCGACATAATATAATATATTGGCATAATCTGCCCTATCGCATCGTATATTCTTTTAGCAATCTTAACATATTTTTTAAAGAAATAAACGCGTGATTTTTTATATTTTGAGGTGCATGTAAATACAAAAATCTATAATAACAAATTATCAAAAACAACATAAACAATAGGCAAAAAAGTGCCAATGAATACAAATTAGAAAAAAATTTAATACCGCAAAAAACAATTCCTGGTAAATTTTGACCAGTTTTGTTTCTATATTTCGTTAAATCTTCCACATCACACACGGTCATGTTTTTAAAGTTTTATGATAAATTAACAACAATAAAAAAGGGAAAATATTGAATATTTAGGCATGGATAATCCCTTCTGTATAATATAATATCAGGAACTTCGCTATATTATCCAATATTGAAAAATGAGTAATTTCGATATTAACATGATTATTAAAGGTATAAGGGAACTAACATGTGAATCGAACCACTGTGACAAAATTAGGTCAATAATTACAAAAATAGAGGACTTGGCAATTATCTTAAATAACGACCATTGCGAAGAGTTCGGTAAATATCCGACACAAACCGAGTTTTGCAAACGTTTTATTATGATATTTCCAGAATTCGAACACAACAATTTTTTTGCAAAACTGCTTCAGTTTGTATATAATGAGTTGAAGATAAAATATTTGGAGAGGACTAATTGCGACTGATTTTTAAAAATACGTGTTATAATATAATTAGGATTATTATTGTTTTTAATAAAAAATAGTCTAAAATAGCGGTATTATATCAATTAAAAAAATATAACTAAGTAAATTAACACGATGACTGACTACGATAACTATGCACCGGTAAACAACACATTAACATATAATAGGGAAGATATGGATGATGCGCTAGGAGATCCATATGACGTGGAAGAAAACTATTACACTAAATTAGCTTTAAGGCAATGGAAAATATGTCCATCAGATGTTGCTAACAAGTATTTTTCTGTCACCAATATACGCCGTATCCAAAAACAAATTAAGCGGGAGATCTATAACAGATCATACAAAAAATTTAAAATGTTAGAAGACCAAAACGTCCTTGATCTTTTGCAATCTATGACTGTTGTTTACGACCAGTATGGTAAAGATCTTCCTTACAATATTATACGCCAAGTAAAAATACTTAATGAACAGACTGTGCAGTATATAGCCCCTGACATGATGACAAACTTAAAACAACATTACGGTTATTTGTCCGACATTAAAAATCCAATTAATCCTCTTCCGCAGCCGATCAATGTTAATCACGCTGGTAGAATACAACTTCCAAGCATTGCCCAACTTTATGGACTGTAAAATTATATTATTGCACGTTTTTTCAATAAAAAATAGACGATAACACAGAGCTCTTCAATACTTAACAGTAAAAACACAATTTGTACCGTATTTAACCCTAATTATTTTATTTTATTTTATTTTTTTATCAATAGTTTTTAATAAAAAAAGCGCTACTCAATGTTTTTTTTTATTGTTTTTGTGTTAATTCATGTTTTACTGGAACTTTAATTGTGGTAAAAAAATGTAAGGTCATAATGATAAAAATGAATAATAATTCGCCAAATAAAAGAAAATAAACAAACACACTATTTAATAACATTCCAACAAACTAGATACACACTAAAACACAAAAAAAGAACAAACCGATGAAATATGTAAAATAGCCGTTCGGAAATATGGATATGCGTTGAAATATGTAAAAGAGCAAACCGAAGAAATATGCAAATTAGCTGTCCGGCAAAATGGTTTGGCATTGAGATATGTAATAAAACAAACCGACGAAAAATGTAAATTAGCTGTCCAACAAAACGGTTTGGCATTGAGATGTGTGGAAAAACAAACCGAAGAATTATGTAAATTAGATGTTTAAGTAATTTGGTCGGCACCGAGACATGTTAAAAACCAAACCAAGGGAATATGTGAATTAGCTGTTCAAGAAAATGGATTGGCATTAGAATATGTAAAAGAACAAACAGATGAAATATGGAAATTAGCTGTTCAAAATGACGGATTAGCACTTAAACATGTTAAAAATCAAACCGATGAAATATGTGAATTAGCTGTCCAAGATGATGGATTAGCATTAGAATATGTGGAAAAACAAACTGAAGAAATACGCAAATTGGCTGTTCAACAAAACGGACAAGTATTAGAATATGTGGTGAACCAAACTGAAAAAATATGCAAATTAGCGGTTCAGCAAGATGGACATACATTGGTATATGTAAGAGAACAAACTGAAAAAAATACGCAAATTGGCTGTTCAACAAGATGGATTAGTATTAGATTATGTAGTAGACCAAACTGAGGAAATATGTAAATCGACTGTTAAACAAAAGGGATTAGTATTAGAATATGTAAAAGAACAAACTGAAGAAATATGTAAATCAGCCGTTCAACAATAACAATATGGATTAGCACTACATTATGTGGAAAAACAAACCGAGGAAATATGTAAGTTAGCTGTTCAGAAAGATGGATTAGCATTACAATATGTGGTAAACCAAACTGAGGAAATATGTAGATTGGCGGTTCAACAAGACTGGAATGCATTTAAATATGTAAAAGAACAAACTAAAGAGATATGTGAATTGGCAGTTAAACAAAATGGGTTAGTATTAGAAGATGTAAAAGAACAAACCAAAGAAATATGTAAATTAGCTGTTCAACAAAATGGGAACGCAACACAATATGTAAACGAACAAATAAATGAAATGTTTATATTGGAAGTTTCGCACGATGGACTTGCATTGGAATATGTAAAAGAACAAACCAAAGAGACATGTGAATTAGCAGTTAGGCAAAATGGATTGGCATTAGAATTTGTAAAAAAACAAATTGAAGAATTATGTGAATTGGCTGTTCAACAAGATGGTTTAGCATTGGGATTTGTAAAAAAGCAAACCGACGAAATATGTGAATTTGCTGTTCACAAAATGGATCGGCGTTAAAATATGTAAAAGAACAAACCAAAGAATTATGTGAATTAGCTATTCAACAAAATGGTTTAGCCCTACAATATGTAAAAGAGCAAACTGATGAAATGTGCGAATTGGCAGTTGAACTAAATGGTTTAGCTCTGCAATACATAATCAAACAAACTGATGAATTGTGTGAATTAGCAGTCAGACAAAACGGTTTATCTTTACAATATATAATCAAACAAACGAATTATGTGAATTAGCGGTTAAACAAAACGGTTTGGCTTTACATTATGTTGGGGAACAAACTAAAGAAACATGTGCATTTGCAGTTAAACAAAACAGTTTAGCTTTAAAATATGTAACCAAACAAACTGGTGAATTGTGTGAATTAGCGGTTAAACAAAATGGTTTGGCTTTAAAACATGTAAAGGAACAAACTAAAGAATTATGTGAATTGGCCATTCGGCTAAATAGTTTAGCTTTAGAATATATGTAGATGAACAAACTAAAAATATGTGTGAATTAGCAATCAAGCAAAATTTGTTAGCTCTGTGTTCAGCGTCAAAACCCATTATGTTGACTAATTTTTTTTTTTGATAATTATTTATTGGGACTGTGACAACACAATGCTGTTAAACATATCATATCAAATCATAATGGGGTGGATGATTAAAATGGTGTAAATTATATTGTTAGTTTACGTCCTTATTTTATTTTGTCTAAAATGAGGCAATTTTTTATGTTTTTTGGTAATTTGCTGGCATTAGTTTTCAATAGGGTTACGTTTTCCAAAAAACGGGCAAACTTTAAAGAAATATCGTAAAATAAATTACATATTAATCAGTACCTTAATTTTAAAACTAAAAAAATACCAATAAACACAAATAATAAAAAAGCACCAATAGTGATAAAATTGAAAAATAACTAGTTTGATGGAAAAAAAGAGAACATGAATAAATACACGACACATTGAGATTCCAAGATATAATGGGATTCCAAGAAAATATATGTTTATTTCGGTTAAAAGATTTAATAAACCAAACCAAAGAAAAATGTGAACTAGCTGTTCAACAAAATGGTTTAGAATTACAATATGTAAAAGTGCAAACTGACAAAATATGTAAATTAGCTGTTCGACAAAATGGTTGGGCATTAGGACATGTAATAAAACAAACTAAAGAAATATGCAAATTAGCTGTTCGGCAAAATAGTTGGGCATTAGGACATGTAATAAAACAAACAGAAGAAATATGTAAAATAGCTGTTCAAAAAAATGGTTGGGTGCTGAAATATGTAAAAGAACAAACTGAAGAAATATGCAAATTAGCTGTTCGACAAAATGGTTTAGCATTAGAATATGTAAAAATACAAACTGAGGAAATATGCAAATTAGCTGTTCGACAAAATGGTTGGGCATTAGGACATGTAATAAAACAAACAGAAGAAATATGCAAATTAGCTGTTCGACAAAATGGTTGGGCATTAGGACATGTAATAAAACAAACAGAAGAAATATGTAAAATAGCTGTTCAAAAAAATGGTTGGGTGCTGAAATATGTAAAAGAACAAACTAAAGAAATATGCAAATTGGCTGTTCGACATAACGGATCCGTATTAGAATATGTAAAAGAACAAACCGAAGAAATATGTAAATTAGCAGTCAACCAAAAAGGATATGCGTTAAAATATGTAAAAGAACAAACTGAAGAAATATGTAAATTAGCAGTCAACCAAAAAGGATATGCGTTAAAATATGTAAAAAAACAAACTGAAGAAATATGTGAATTAGCTGTTAAACAAAATGGTTTGGCTTTACAGTATGTGATTGAACAAACCGAAAAAATGTGTAAATTAGCAGTCAACCAAAAAGGATATGCGTTAAAATATGTAAAAGAACAAACTGAAGAAATATGTGAATTAGCTGTTAAACAAAATGGTTTGGCTTTACAGTATGTGATTGAACAAACCGAAAAAATGTGTAAATTAGCTGTTAAACAAAATGGATTGGCATTAAAATATGTAAAAGAACAAACAAACGAACTTTGTAAAATAGCAATTAAACAAAATTCATCGACTCTACGATTGGTGTCAAAATCTGTTTTACTGACAAATATATTTATGTATTTTAATAATTTTTTATTAGGAGTGTAATGACTTGTTTTTTAACAAAATATTGTTGTATATTCTTTAGGAGTAGTAGATTAAGGTGGTATACGTTATAATGTCAGTACGTATTTTTTTACTTATTATGCCTAAAACGGAACAGTTACTTATGATTTGGGTGATTTTATTTTTGCCATTATAACGTAATTTTTTTAGGGGGAAATTTTTTAAAGTTGTTTACATATTTATGTTGACTAATATTAAAAACCAAGTCGATGTAATAGATAAAAAACATAATTCTATCTAATTTTTAACATAACGATTACATTTTCTTGATCTTCCACTCTCGTTTATAAGTACCTTATTTTTTAAATCAAAAAAATAATAAAAATGCATCAATATTGATAAAATTGAAAAATAACCCATATGCCAGGTAATAATATAAATAAACACACAGCAAAATGAATTTAGAATATGGAATAAATCAAACTGATGAAATATGTAAATTGGCTGTTCAACAATATGGTTGGGCATTAAAATATGTAAAAAAACAAACAGAAGAAATATGTAAATCAGCTGTTCAACAAAATGGAATAGCATTGGGATATGTGAAAGAACAAACCGAAGAAATATGTAAATTAGCCGTTCAACAAGATGGTTTGGCATTAGGATATGTAAAAATACAAACCGAAGAAATATGTAAATTAGCCGTTCAACGAAATGGTTGGGCATTAGGATATGTAAAAATACAAACAGAAGAAATATGTAAATTAGCCGTTCAACAAAATGGTTGGGTACTGTGTTATGTGAAAGAACAAACCGAAGAAATATGTAAATTAGCCGTTCAACAAGATGGTTTGGCATTAGGATATGTAAAAATACAAACAGAAGAAATATGTAAATCAGCTGTTCAACAAAAAGGAATAGCATTAAAATATGTGAAAAAACAAACCGAAGAAATATGTAAATTAGCCGTTCAACGAGATGGTAGGCCACTGTGTTGTGTGAAAGAACAAACCAAAGAAATATGTAAATTGGCTGTTCAACAAGACGGATTGGCACTACAATATGTAAAAGAACAAACCAGTGAAATATGTAAATCGGCTGTCCAAAGAAATGGTTTAGCATTAGAATATGTAAAAGAGCAAACTGAAGAAATATGTAAATTGGCTGTTCAACAAGATGGATTGGCATTGAAATTTGTAAAAGAACAAACCAAAGAATTATGTAAATTGGCTTTTCGACAAAATGATTTGGCATTGAAATATGTAAAAGAACAAACCGATAAAATATGTAAATTAGCTGTTCGACAAAATGGTTTAGCTTTACAACACATAATCAAACAAACCGAAGAAATATGTAAATTGGCTGTTCAACAAGATGGGTTGGCGCTGCGATATTTAAAAAAACAAACCGGTGAAATATGTAAATTAGCTGTCCAACAAGATGGGTGTGCATTACAATATGTAAAAGAGCAAACCGAAGAAATATGTGAAGTAGCAGTCAAACAAAATGGTTTAGCATTACAATTTGTAAAAGAACGAACCAAAGAATTATGTAAATTGGCTGTTCGACATAATGCATTTGCATTGAAATATGTAAAAGAACAAACCGAAGAAATATGTAAATTAGCCGTTCGACAAAATGGTTTAGCATTACTATATGTAAAAAAACAAACCGAAGAAATTCGTGAATTAGCTGTCCAACAAGACGGATTGGTTTTGCGACATGTAACAATACAAACCGATAAAATATGTAAATTAGCTGTTCGACAAAATGGTTTAGCATTACTATATGTAAATGTAAAAAACAAACCGAAGAAATATGTAAATTGGCTGTTCAACAAGATGGGTTGGCGCTGCGATATTTAAAAAAACAAACCGGTGAAATATGTAAATTAGCTGTCCAACAAAATGGGTGTGCATTACAATATGTAAAAGAGCAAACCGAAGAAATATGTAAATTGGCTGTTCAACAAGACGGATTGGCACTACAATATGTAAAAAAACAAACCAGTGAAATATGTAAATCGGCTGTCCAAAAAAATGGTTTAGCATTACAATATGTAAAAGAGCAAACCGAAGAAATATGTAAATTGGCTGTTCAACAAGACGGATTGGCACTACAATATGTAAAAAAACAAACCAGTGAAATATGTAAATCGGCTGTCCAAAAAAATGGTTTAGCATTAGAATATGTAAAAGAGCAAACTGAAAAAATATGTAAATTGGCTGTTCAACAAGATGGATATGCATTGGAATTTGTAAAAGAACAAACCGAAGAAATATGTAAATTAGCCATTCAAAAAGACGGATGTGCGTTAAAATATGTAAAAGAACAGACCGGTGAATTGCGTGGATTAGCAGTTAAACAAAACGGTCGGGCATTGATGTTTGTAAAAGAACAAACTGAAGAAATATGTAAATTAGCTGTTAAACAAAATTGTTTGGCTCTACAATATGTAAAAGAACAAACCAAAGAATTATGTGAACTGGTTGTTCAACAAAACGGTTTAGCGTTAGAATATGTAAAAGAACAAACTAAGGAATTATGTGAATTGGCTATTGTGCAAAATTGTTTGGCCCTACAATACGTAAAAAAGCAAACTAAGGAAATATGTGAATTAGCAGTTAAACAAAATGGTTTGGCATTAGAATATGTAAAAAAACAAACAAACGAACTTTGTAAATTGGCAATTAAACAAAATCCATCGGCCCTACAATTAGTGTCAAAGTCTGTTATATTGACAAACATGTTTTTGTATTTTTATAAATAGGGGTGGAAGACAATATACGTTATATAGTTTACATTCTTATTTTACTGGTATTTATTATTTTTGTCATTTTAGCGATTTTTTAAAGGGGCAATGTTTTAAAGTTATTTACATATTTATATTGATCAATATTAAAAAATAAGTCAATGATTTGTCAAGAAATATAAAAAATATTCATAGTATAAAAACATTTAAATCAAAAATTTAATAAAATGATTGTAAATTGGTAAAAAAAACAGGCACAATTGATTTTGCGACATGTAATAACACAAACCGATAAAATATGCAAACTAGCTGCTCGGCAAAATGGTTTAGCATTACTATATGTAAAAAAACAAACCGAAGAAATATGTAAATTGGCTGTTCAACAAGACGGATTGGCACTACGATATGTAAAAGAACAAACCAAAGAATTATGTGAATTAGCTATTCAACAAAATGGTTTAGCTTTACAATATGTAAAAGAGCAAACTAAGAATTTGTGCGAATTGGCAATTAAACAAAACAGTTTAGCTTTACAATATGTAAAAGAGCAAACTAAGAATTTGTGCGAATTGGCAATTAAACAAAACAGTTTAGCTTTACAATATGTAAAAGAGCAAACCAAGAATTTGTGCGAATTAGCAGTTAAGCAAAATGGTTTAGCTTTACAACATATAATCAAACAAACCGATGAATTATGTGAATTAGCAGTTAAACAAAACGGTTTGGCTTTACATTATGTTGGGGAACAAACTAAAGAAACATGTGCATTTGCAGTTAAACAAAACGGTTTGGCTTTAAAATATGTAACCAAACAAACTGGTGAATTGTGTGAATTGGCGGTTAAACAAAACGGTTTGGCTTTGAAATATGTAAAAGAGCAAACTAAGAATTTGTGCGAATTGGCAATTAAACAAAACAGTTTAGCTTTACAATATGTAAAAGAGCAAACCAAGAATTTGTGCGAATTAGCAGTTAAGCAAAATGGTTTAGCTTTACAACATATAATCAAACAAACCGATGAATTATGTGAATTAGCAGTTAAACAAAACGGTTTGGCTTTACATTATGTTGGGGAACAAACTAAAGAAACATGTGCATTTGCAGTTAAACAAAACGGTTTGGCTTTAAAATATGTAACCAAACAAACTGGTGAATTGTGTGAATTGGCGGTTAAACAAAACGGTTTGGCTTTGAAATATGTAAAGGAACAAACTGGTGAATTGTGTGAATTAGCGGTTAAACAAAATGGTTTGGCTTTAAAACATGTAAAGGAACAAACTAAAGAATTATGTGAATTGGCCATTCGGCTAAATAGTTGAGCTTTAGAATATGTAGATGAACAAACTAAAAATATGTGTGAAGTAGCAATCAAGCAAAATTTGTTAGCTCTATGTTCAGTGTCAAAACCCATTATATTGACTAATTTTTTTGTTTTTTGATAATTATTTATTGGGACTGTGACAACACGATGCTGTTAAACATATCATATCAAATCATAATGGGGTGGATGATTAAGACGGTGTAAATTATATTGTTAGTTTACGTCCTTATTTTATTTTGTCTAAAATGAGGCGATTTTTTATATTTTTTGGTAATTTGTTGGCATTAGTTTTCAATAGGGTTACGTTTTCCAAAAAACGGGCAAACTTTAAAGAAATATCGTAAAATAAATTACATGTTAATCAGTACCTTAATTTTAAAACTAAAAAAATACCAATAAACACAAATAATAAAAAAGCACCAATAGTGATAAAATTGAAAAATAACTAGTTTGATGGAAAAAAAGAGAACATGAATAAATACACGACACATTGAGATTCCAAGATATAATGGGATTCCAAGAAAATATATGTTTATTTCGGTTAAAAGATTTAATAAACCAAACCAAAGAAAAATGTGAACTAGCTGTTCAACAAAATGGTTTAGAATTACAATATGTAAAAGTGCAAACTGACAAAATATGTAAATTAGCTGTTCAAAAAAATGGTTGGGTGCTGAAATATGTAAAAGAACAAACTGAAGAAATATGCAAATTAGCTGTTCGACAAAATGGTTTAGCATTACAATATGTAAAAGTGCAAACTGACAAAATATGTAAATTAGCTGTTCAAAAAAATGGTTGGGTGCTGGAATATGTAAAAGAACAAACTGAAGAAATATGCAAATTAGCTGTTCGACAAAATGGTTTAGCATTAGAATATGTAAAAGAACAAACTGAAGAAATATGCAAATTAGCTGTTCGACAAAATGGTTTAGCATTAAAATATGTAAAAGAACAAACTGAAGAAAT